CTGCTGATTCTTAAGCAACATCTATGAAGTCTTTAGCTACAGATGTTGCACCCAGATAAGTGATTGTAAGTTGACCACATAGTGTCTGTACAACAAAAATTATTTTTCTCTATGTTTTGTTTTGGTTCCCCCTGCCCAAAACAACAGGTGGAATTCTTTGAACCCTTTTGGGATAGTGGAGAACCACGAATCGGAGAAAAAGGAGCAAGAGGCTGGAAAGCATGGATGCACCAACAAGAAAAGGGTGGCTGGATTGCTCTTAAGCCTGGTATGCCTAAGTTGATATGTGTAGTTTTATGTCCCTGTGTTCTTGGCAACATTTTGATTAGAATTGTACAAACTGTTTCTTCTCATGTTTTTGCATACAAGTTTTAAAAAATATTTACCAAGATTAACTATATCACACTTCACAGGGAAAAGCATGTGTGAGTGTTCTGTGTATGATACTGTTGACAGAATATTGTCCTTCCTAGGGATGAGAATTGAGGGAGAGGATGGCATATCCTCCACTCTGCTGAAAAGGCTGAAGGTGTGAGTACTTGGTTGAGACCCACGCCCATGTAAAGTGGAAGGAAGCTACTTCCCTTGGTAGACTGGGTGGAATTACAGATTAGATGATAGTTGCTCAAAGGATTACTAGCTTAATGATTCTATTTCTAGAATCAGATTTCAGTCTCTTGTAGCAATTGATATAGTAGAAATAGGGGGAAAACCTTTCCTTGTTTTTTGTGATGCAGAAAACAAAGAAATTGCATCTTCACTTGGCTGGAGTGCTTCTGGGTGAACAGGGATGCAGAAAATGCCGCCCTGCTCCTTAGTCCCGCCTTGTCTTCTTGTCTACAGTGCTTCTCTTAATGTCAAGGACTATTTCTCAAACAGATACATCTTGAAGGGAAGCAGGGGGCTGGAACATGTCTGACCAAAGATGAGCTGTCTGCTTTTGCTGCTGCTGCAGCAACTCTAAGGAAGCAACTTTGGCTTTGCTTTTAGTAAACAGAGAACTGAAAAATGATCCTGTGGTTCCCTTGTGCCTGGATTGCAATGGAATTTCCTTGCCCCCTAACTGAGGTCAGCAGTTCCATTGCTGATGGCTATAGATATTTGCCCACAAATTGAGAAGAGAACCACTGCCAGTCTTGGGCAGGTCCAGCATATATCAATGCTTTTCCACATTTATGTCTGGCCCAAAAGTTCGGATCTATAACTGGGCATAATCTCTAAAAAAAGTAAAAAAAAAAAAAAAAAAGTATTTGAAAAATCTCTACAAGCTTTCCCTTAGTCTACAGGTGTTCGTCAGTTTCAACACAGAATTAATATACTGCTGTAACAGGAAAAATATGCTAATTGCATCTAACATTTCAGAAAGATCGTCATAAAAATGGGATGTGGTTAAGCACTGCCTTTTGTGTGTGTGTTTAACTACATTGTTTGTTTCAATTGTACATTAATTAAAATGTTGAAACTATCAGGTATTTTAAAGCAACAGTGCCAAGCTTGGTTTGCCATGTTTAACATTATCATACTACTTTTTACTTACAGTGGTTTTCTCAAAATGTTTTATGCACATGGGTATTCATGAAGCACACTTCAGATTGTATGCCCAGGTATGAAGTGAAGAACCTAAGTTGCACAAAAAGATGACTGACTCTTGGCTGTGGCTTACAAACTGTTGTTGATAAAAGTGGTCTACAGCCTGTTAGTGTTTTGTTTTCTCCTCTATGGGAAAGATTGAGTGCTGACACTGATTCACTGCTTCAAAAAGTTTGGAAACTCCTACTCTGTAAGACTTGGTATCAAAACCCAGAACTGTGGTGTGGAAATTTTCAGCTCTGCCTCATGTCTGTGGTATTAACACTGTATTTGTTCACGTTTTTAAAGCAGGTAAATTTGTTTGTCAAGTCTGGTCTTTGGATTTGGTAGATTAATTTGTCTTTAATAATTTTCTGTGTATGTTTGTGTCTTGATTTGGTTTTAGATGATGATGATGAAGAAGAGATAGATGAGGATCAAGACATAAAGGATAAAACTCTCCCCAAGTGGCATATTTGGTTGGATATTGAATATTCTCGTGAAGCAAGGCAATGGTTACCTTGGAGGCCAGACAAAACCAAAAAGGAAACTGAAGAAGATTGTGAAGATCCAGAAAGACAGGTCACTGTGATATAATAAAACGAGGGGAGATGATATGACAAATTATCCTTTCATTTTCATTCATTGCCAATGGATATTTTAGAGGAGTAATCCTTTTCTTCATTTGGAAAAAATTCTTTTCTTTATTTGTAATTCAAAATATGCCTGAGTGTTTTTTGCTGACACTTCTGAAATCCATGGAAAGCTCATGGTAAACTTTGGAAAGGGCTATAGGCAAATAGTGTGTCTTTGCTGTTCTGTGATTTCCCTCATCTGTGTGTGGAAATGTCACAGAAATCTGTGTTTAAGAAGGTACATGCATTAAATAAACAGAGGTTTTGTTGCCTTCAAGTCAGATAGTTGGATTTTTTTTTCTTTCTCGGGAGATAGGTCAAGTCAGACATTGATTTTCAAATAAAAACATGTTAAATTGCCTAAGCAATAATATCTTTCAGACCTTCGTTGTGAGGTTTTCTGTGAAGGTCTCTGATGCTCAAGGGCAAAGAATTCTCTTGATAGGAAATTTACAGTCTGACTGCAAAAACATACTGCTTGTTTAACTTGCCTGTTTTTAATTTGAATGACATTCTGTTACCATTTAATAGTAATTATAAATCTTTATTGACTTGTAAAGGTTTGCTAATTTTATCTGATTGCAAAAATTAACGGAGTTTGGTTTTAATTTGGATTTTTTTAGGTATTATTTGATGATCTTGGACCATCTTTAATCCAGCTTTCTAATCCAGATCTTCAGTGTCAACTACTGTACTCATTTTTGCAATTCCTGGGAGTTCCATGTACAAGTAAACTCTTTCCTTCCAACCTCTATATTGCCATGGATGAAAATAACATCTTTGACAGCGTCCTTTCTGATGAAAAGCCACTGACTTCTTTTGATTTTCCACTTTCTGGATTCAACAGTATTGGTCATATGGACACGATGCTACGAGGGAGACATCACATAGGCCACTATAAAGAAGGAGAGGAGTTCATACAGAATGTTTTTCATGTTCTATTCCTGCTATTTTCAGGAAAGGAAAAATCTAACCTGACCATTTGTTGGTTACAGTATGAAATATCTAAGGTAATAAGGAATCTGCATATAATCACCTTTGTGATGTGTGGCTTTCTTGTGTATTAATGTTTATATTGAGTTAAAATTAATATTGATGAAAATTAACTCTTGTAGGACTAACTATTCAAATCGGGAAATGCCGGTTAAGATTGAACTGAGGGTAAAAAACCAAACAAAACTCAAACATTTCCTTCAGTACATGTTGCACAGTGGCACACGTGTAACAAAATATTTTTTTGCATTCTTGGATAAATGTTATATGGTTTGTTGTATGGTAGACAGAAATGGATGCAAGTGATTTTTTTATAAAGCAAAGTGAGTCAGCCAAGTACTTTTACCAAACTATTTTACAAAGTGCATAATCCCCGATACCATGATATAAGCACCTTATCAAGAAACTGACTTCTTCCTATACAAGTTACCTTTGTAGTTTTATAGAAGGAAATAACACCTTATCACTTGAATATGGATTTATTTAAGTAAAACTGCTCTAACAGATCCCACAGAAGGATGAGAGTCCATGTTGTCTTTCTAACGCTTCAGAAAGCTTAGTATTATGTTTTCTTATGGAGAAGTTCCCTGTCTCTTACCCAAAGGCAACCTGACCAGAAGACCTCCTGTAATCTTCCCACCCAATCTCCACATCTGTCTGTTAGCGCCTTCCCCTCTGTGAAAAGCTTACTTGGAGGTTTAATTGGTGATAGTCATAAGTTGCATCTGGCCAGACAGGATCATTTATTTTCCTTTTCTCAACCATTACAGGTTAGCAGCTCTTTATTTGAACAGCTGGCCCTGTAAAAGGGTGAAATTTGATATTATTTAGTTGCAGTGGCAGGAGTAAGAATGATAAGACTCTGTAATTTGACTGTGTTGGAGGGAGCTGACAATGGGCAGTTGTGACAACTTACAGTACTCAGTAGCAACAGATCTGGCTGGTGTTGGAATACGGAACAATACGAAAGCAAAAACAGTAATGAAGTTAAAAAATGCTGTGAGGTGTTTTTTCCTTTCTTCTCCCATCTCTCTCAAAATTTGTTCTGTTTATTCTCCCCTGCAGGTAGTTCAGTGTCTCCAAACAAAAAACAAGAAGAAGCTGAAAGCCCAAGGGAGGAAGAGTAAAAAGTTGGCAAAGAATCTCCTTAAAGCACCTGACAACCGAAACCACCTTTCTCTCTGGAAACTGTATGCCTACCTAGAATGGCTGCTCGGTAACATCGATGATGCCAGGAAGGTATTTGACACAGCTCTTTGCACGGCAGGGACAGGAGGACTGAAGAGTCCCCAGATCTGCAGCCTCAGTCTGCTTTATGCTCAGCTGGAAGTGGAACTACTAGAAAGTCTGGAAGGAGCTGTTATGTCACGTGCTGTTCATATATTGACCAAATTGGCTGAAAGTGGACCATATGTACCCTATAGCGGACAAGTGTTATCTGTGAATGTCTTGAAAGCTCGTAAAACATATGAGCATGCACTGCAAGATTATTTAAGTAAAACACCATTTTCTGATCAGGATCAGGTCAGTGATACTAATCAGCTGGTGAACTTGGTAGGTTGTTATGCACTGTTCCAGTATTTGACTCTTGGGATTGATGCTGCAGTGTTAATATATGCACAGACTTCGGAAAAACTTGGAGCTCCTGGCCCACAGAAATGTGAAAATACTGGAGAGAATTTTGGCATTCAAAATTTTCCCGCTGCTCTTGAAGCTGTCACACTGCTGCATACAAATTTACTCAGATTCCACATGAAAATTAGCGTTTATCCTTTGAATCCTCTGCGAGAGGCACTAACAGAGGCTCTGAAACGGTATCCTAGCAACCAGTCTCTTTGGAGGTCATATATCCACATCGAAAGGAAGTCTCACAGTGCTAGCAAAGCACGAAGATTTTTTGATGGTGTCACAAGGTCTACTAATTCTTTAGAGCCGTGGCTGTTTGCAATCCAAGCAGAGCAGATGAGAAAAAAACTCATTGAGAATATCCAGAGGTAGTATCTTGCAGCTCCTTATGATTATGCTTTTTTGTGATCTAATCGCTTAGCATTTTCTCTCCTCTGTTATCATAGTTCTCATTTTGCACATGAAGAAGCTGTAGCTAGGCAAGGTTATTTGTTTAAGACTGAACAGTGAGTCAGTGGCAGAATCCTGAATAGAATTAAAGACCTAGATGATAGTCTCATGTCCTTTCTGCTGAATCAGATTGTGTGTTGCTTTCTATTTGATTACTTGCTACTGACATCAAGATGGTACATGTTTCTTTAAATAATTTTTAAATAACTAAGAGCCTGCTTAGATGGCCTAGGTAGACGCTGTGAGCTTAGAAACTGCCGCGTTTTAATACTACAGCAATAAGGAGTGTAATACAGAGCTACGCTGCAGTGTCTGACTGAGCTCCCTGCCCTACTTTATTCCTGGATCACCGAATACAGTTGTGGCAGATCTGTTTCCATAGTGAGTACTTGGGCCTTGAGTTTTCTGTCTACCTAGCTGTCGCTAGGTAGAAGAGGCTGGAAATTTCCTGAATTTGCGGTGTGGTTTGGGCTCAGATTTTTTGCTCTTGGGAAAGGAGGAAAGGGTGGGAGATGTGAGGCACAGAGGTATGTGTTGATTCTTAAAGCTTAGTCTCTAACTGTTGCCTACCTGTTGCTTGGAGCTACCTATCCACTGCTACCTATGTATTTGTAACAACATTGGCAGCTTGATTCTTTGTGTCTGCACATAGCAACAGAGATTTCTAGGAAAATGTTATCTGGAAGCTTTACAGAGCTGTAAGCTTACAATATTCACACTTGAGGAAATTACAGAATTATCAGTATACTTTAAAATGATGGTGCGCCCACTGCTTTGATAGTCTGGCAGCAGGCATACCAACATGATAGTGACATTCCTGAGCTGTCAGTGTATGTCATCCTAAACTGTAGTAAGAATTCTACAGCCACGAAATGTAAAGGAGGATTGTAATTTTATTTGCTGTTAATTACAGACTGACACTATGATAGGTTTTCATTATTGTTACTGGAAACTGATGTTAAAATTCCAGAATGATGATTTTCTGTGACATTTAGTTCCTTTCCAGGTTGTTCTCTGCTAGCATAGCCTTTCCTATACGTTATACCTGTACAGGGACAAGTTGGATGTTGCAAGAGCAGAGCTGAACAAATGCAGCAGAGAGATAAATAGCCTGTCAGTCATGCATAAAACTAATGTTTTATGATGATGTGACAAACCAAGAAAATGTCTGTACTATGTGTGACTATTTCCTATTATGTTTTGTATTTCTGCTTGTTTAAGCACATGGAATTAATTTAAAGAAATGATCGTGAAGGGTAAACAGTAGCATGTATATGTCAGTGTGAGGTACAATGCTTCAAATATCTGACTCCATGCAGAGTAGATTACACCGTTTTTCCTCATGGCAAAGGTTAAGATGAGAGGAAATGTAACCTCAAAGACCCTTGAAAACTGATGCAAGTTAGGAGCAAGTGTTAAGGGGGAGCAGAACAAGCTGGCCTGCTGAGAGAATGCACGCAGACAGAAGTGACGTTGCCATGAGTGCTCCGGGCTGTTTTCTTCAAGCACAAGCATCAAAAATAAGCCAGTCTGTATAAGCTGTAGATAGAAATCAGTGCTTCTGTGAAAAATATGTACCTGCTTTTGTGTTATGCTTGGAACTTAGGGGATTTGAATCTCTGGGTGAAAAGGAAAATTATTACTGTAATCATTGTTGAGATCCAGAGCTGTAATCTAGGCCTTGGTTGAAGACCAACGTATGGCCTTACAAAGGTGCCGGGGTAAATTTGAACAGGCTTGCATGGGCACTAGAAGAATGTTTGCTGACCTAGACTTGAATTTGGTTTGAGCTGCTATGCCAGGCTTGGAATAATAAATGATCTTGAATGAAGGCTAAGATAAGGGTTTTAAGATCGTATGGTAGAGGATTATTGTACTCAAAGAGAAGTGATCTCTTCCAGTTGGACAGGGTTAATTTTTCAACATGCTAAAAGAATTTTCATAAAAGTACCTCATTTATATTCTTTTAACTGGTTTTCCTATTTAGAAATGTGTTGATTAGATTAGCAAGTGTTAAAAATCTGGTTTATAACATTCAGAGTTTGTAGAATGAAATGCAAAAACCTGGCTCTATACAGTGCTATGTGAACAGAGACATACATTGATCTTTACCCTCTCTTACCTGGATGTGGTCCTTTAGCTTGGGTTTAAGGGATTGTGGTTTCTTTTTTTTCTCTGTGTTTCAGGGCAGATGTTGGTGAAATACATTCCACTATTCCTGAAACTGGGTTAACAAATCGGATTGTAGCTCTATTTGAACATGCAGTTCAGAGTGAAAATGGTACCCATTGTCCACTGCTGTGGAGAATGTATTTGAACTTTCTGGTAAGAAGAGACTGTCGGTTGTATTTCTTTTTTTTCACTATATTTGGAATTTCTCATGAACACAGCCACCATACTTTATTTTAAAAAAAAAAAAAAAAAAGGAATACTAAATGCTGCCATACCTATATCATAGAATCATAGAATGGTTTGAGTTGGAAGGGACCTCACAGATCATCTAGTTCCAACCCCCCTGCTACGGGCAGGGACACCCTCCACTAGACCAGGTTGCCCAAAGCCCCATCCAACCTGGCCTTGAACACTTCCAGGGAGGGGGCATCCACAGCTTCTCTGGGCAACCTCTTCCAGTGCCTCACCACCCTCACAGGAAAGAATTTCTTTCTAACATCTAATCTAAATCGACCCTCCTTCAGCTTAAACCCATTACCCCTTGTCCTGTCACTACACTCCCTGATAAACAGTCCCTCACCATCTTCCCGGTAGGCCCCTTCAGGTACTGGAAAGCTGCAATTAGATTTCCCTGGAGCCTTCTCTTCTCCAGGCTGAACAATCCCAAGGCTCTCAGCCAGAAACATGATTTGCAAGGCGATATATTTGAATTGTAATGCTCCTTATTGCAGGGAATATTAGGGAAAATGTAATTCACTTGGATTAGAAGGAGTAACAGCTTCTGCCAGTGTAGTTTTAATACAGATGCAGGCAAGTTATTGTGGTTGCCATCTTACACAGATTAAAGATATGTCCTAAGATGTCAATAGATGGATTCCACCCAGTCTTACGCGCAATACAAAGGTAAGTGAGCAGTGGAACAAAATTTAAGAAAATAGGAAGCAAATTGTAGGACTTAGGATTTTATTATTTTTAGGTAATTAAAATCAGCAAAGATGAGTTGTATTTATGTTTTAGATGTACTTTAGGGTTCTGTAAGGAAATTATAAGGATCTTGATATTTCAGTCAAATCAACATCCCGATTTTGTATAACTTCACAGAATGGTTGGAGTTGGAAGGGACCTCTGAAGATCATCTTGTCCAACTCCACTGTTCAAGCAGGGGCACCCAGAGCCAGTAGTCTATGACAATGTCTAGGTAGCTCCAAGAATGGAGATTCTAACTCTCTGGGCAACCCATGCCAGTGCTCAGTAACCCTCAAGTAAAAAAGTGTTTCCTGATGTTTAGAGGAAATGTCCTGTGTTTGTGCCCATTGCCTCTGGTCCTGTCACTGGGCAGCACTGAAAAGAGCCTGGCTGTCTGACCTTTGCACCCTCCCTTCAGGTAATTTTACACATTGGTAAGTTCCCCACCACACCCTGAGCCTTCTCTAGGCTAAACACTCTCTCAGGCTCTCCTCATCGAAGAGATGCCCTAGTCCCTTAGTCATCTTTGTGGCAAAGGCACAGGCTTTAACTGAAATACTCAGCAGAGACTCTGCTACTCTTTGTTCAGGGCTGTACTTGTAAGACAAGTAATTGAAACTCCTTAAAGACATCTCTGTGATTACATTGAAGAGTGTAACAAGTGTCACTGGTGTAACCTGTCAAAATGCATAGCTACCACAATGTAAGGTTTCCTCAGCAGAGGAACACTGAGCTTTTCAGCAGTAATTTCTTTGTCTTGGAGATAATGGTTTTCTTACTTCAGCTACTACTGCATTCAAGTGTGAACATTTTATTTTCCTCACACAGGCTTCACTAGGAAAAAAAGAAAAAAGTAAAGGATTGTTTTATAAAGCCCTTCAAAACTGTCCTTGGGCAAAGGTAAGCACAGAAAAATTATAAACCTGTCATCATACTCTTAATTTTCAAAGTTTCTGTATTTAAAAAAAAAAAGTTGTTTGAATTTGGTAGTTGTTGTCTAAGATTTTCTGCAGATGAGAGATGCATCTGAAATGGGAACAGACATAGTGGTCAGCGCTGTTTGCATTTCAGAACAGAAAGGCATTGCATGAGGCAAGGAGGTAATAAATTCTTCTCCGTGTGATCTAGAAGCAATCGTGTCTTTCAGATCATGCTTCATCATGAGCAAGGTAGTAGCAGAAATATATAGGCAAATAAAAATGTATTTAGTTAATAGCGTAAAAAATTATTCAGGAGCACCTGCAACTCCTCTGGTAATGTCTGTACATGCTGCCGATGCTCCAGCGCCTCTTGACCTACGTTTTATCTTTTCAAATAAAATTATTTGGTAAGAGTTGGAAAAGACTTGCTGAAATATCTACATTTCCGTCACTGTAGAAGTACTAATTCTGTTTGTATTACTTTAAAGTAGCATATGAAAGTTCTTCTTGCTGCAGAGTTGTTTGCGTATCTATGTACTTCTTTATACTGTGTTTCTTTCTTGCTATGATAGAAAGATGGCAGAGAAAATGTTCTCATTGTCTTTTTAGGTACTCTATATGGATGCAATAGAGTACTTCCCTGATCATCTGCAAGAGACGCTTGATCTAATGACTGAAAAAGAATTGAGAGTGCGGGTGCCTATGGAAGAGCTGGAGCTACTATTAGAGGTTTAAAAGAAAGACAACTGTGGATGAGTGGAGGAAGTATAGAAGCTAGTTCCAAAACTAAGTTAGACCTGTCTCTCTTCAGACAGGAAGTCTGTTGGGACTTGGATACTATGTACTTTTTGTTTGGTTTTGGGGTATTTTTATTTTTTTTTTAGCTTTTACATAAATTGCTCTCAAAATGGAGTTCTACTTAGCTGCAAGTATTCTGGAATCAAGTACTGCATTTTTCCCCACAAAAAATGCATCCATTTCCCTGAAGTATTGCTGGCTCCCACAGGAAGATACCCCCTTATAAATATCCTCCTGTCGAATGCTGCCCATGTTTCTTATTCTATTGTTTGAAATTACATTCCCTAGAGTTCAGTAGAGATTCAGGACATGCCAACTATGGTTTGGTGAGCAGTACAGGAAACAAACATCTGCCAAAGGGCTGCTTTGCTGTTCTCCAGTTGGCAGACTTCAGTAATTTCCTTCAGCTCGGTATGCATGTGTATATATAACTACCCAGTCAAACAGCTGTTGCATCTGGACATAAACTGTTAACAAAAGCAAAATCTTTGCTTGAATGGGCACCTATTTTGGAGTTGTATTTGTATGTTTTGACAGATGACCATTTTAATATGAATATTTATGAAAAAATATACCTGAGTATTTGAAAATTCAAAAGGAACTGGAATTATTTTTTATTTTTTAATTTAATAGAACACTGAGTTTATTAGAAATGAAACTGTATCCATAATACATCTCTAAGCACCTCACTTTTACACAACTTTTTGTAATTGATTACTCACTTTTGACCCCAATACAGGCACTCATCATAAGAGAAGTAGAGGTCTGGACTGTGTTTAATCCTCACCAAAGGTGGCAGAGTAGGCAAAACATGATTGTTTAATTAGCAGCTTCTATTCCAAGAGTCTTTAGGCAAGCTCCTAGAGAAGTAATATGAAATATGGTAGCAATTTAAAGATACAGTTATGTTATAAAATAAATATTTAAGACAGAATATGCTGAAATATGTAAAAGACTGTTTTGCATCCCTACTCTTGAGACCCAAGTACTTACTTAGAAACTGGTTCCTGATCTGAAAAGAGGGTACCTGCAGCCAGGGAATGCCCAGAACTGTTTCAGAGGTTTTTCAGGAGAAAACTGTCACTAACAAACAGCACTGAAACAATCAATCAGAATCATCCCATTACTCTGAGAATTATGGCTGGACAAAGCCATACAACCTATAGCTTGGTTTTGCCTGTAGCACCACAGTACAACATACAATACATTTTAGTTTAGGCTGCACTTCGTTTATTCCTTTCTAAATTTTTTTTTTAATGTTACAGGGAACATGCAGAATTTTAAATGGCATTACAGCACTTCTGAAGAGCCTTATAATATTGCTATGGCTGCAAGTGATGCTGGGTTTGCTATAAAAGTAATTGATTAGTCTTTGTAAAAAATAGCTATTTTATTTTTAAACTGCGTGCTTCTTTCAGAAACAACAGAGCTCCTGAATTGAAGGTAGGAGTTACTCTGCACCCTGACCAGCAACACCACAAACTGAGAGAGAGAAAGAGAGCGCGTGCGTGTGTGCGTTTTGCTCTCCAATCAAAGCTGAGTGCCATTTCCTCTAAAGACCTGGATGGATGTGGAGGGGGGGAAGCTTGGTTGTGCTCCTGCTTGTGTTTCTCTTCAGGGGCATAGAATGACAGAGCAGCCTAAGTTGGGAGGGACCTTGACAGATCATCTGGTCCAGCCTTTTGTGGGACAGGGAGCCTGGGTGAGATGATGTAGCACCCTGCCACTCACATCTTGAAAACCTCCAGGAATGGCAGCTATGACTCTTTTTCAGCCACTTCTGTTCCATGCCTCCTCCTTTGCACAGCTGCTCCCTTTGCAGCACTTGTGCTGCTGCCTTCACTTTGGGGGCAGAGGCTGCTCCCTTGCTCCAGGAGCTCCAGTAAGTCAGTCCTGCCTCTTAATTCAGCCCTTTAATTGAGGTAGCTTTTTCTGTCCTTACGGGATTATACTCACTGTTCACTTTCTCCTGATCTTTATTACTTGATCTTTGTAACTCAAGTTCAGAAATATTGGAGAACGCAGCATAAGTTGAATTCTGCTGCAAAAGGTAAAAATTTTATTTTCAAATATATTTCCTTTTCAGTTACTGTTGTGGCAGTTCTTGGTTTAACTTAATGTATTGCAGCTTTCCTTCAGTCAGTTGAACTAACCTCTTCATGGTTGGTGCTTCTAGCGTGCGTTAATAGCTGTGCCCCAAATAAAAAAAGCCTTGCTCGCCACATGTCATAAAGCTCTTCAGCCCCTCCAGCAATGATGAGATCAGCTGCCATGATTAGAAAATGCTAAAAAAAATCACTGGCTTTTTGTGACCTTTCTAAGGAGACAGATCTCATAAGGTTTATAAGAATGGGTAATAAAACTGCTTGTTTTTCTAAACCAAGTCTATTTCAGGATTACTGTCATCCAGATTAAATAAAAGACTCCATTCTGCTGTAGGGGTTGTTTTTAACCATGAACCACATAATTTTTACATAGAAACCCAAAATCTCTTGGCCTTGCTGCTACCATTGTTGTTGCAGTACTGGCAGTTATCAAAGGGACTGCTCTGTGTATAACTCTACTGCCTGTTACTGGCCAACATTTGCTCCCACAGAAAGTTTCCAGAACAAAGACTGCACTTTGCTGAACTGTGGTCTCTATATGGAACTTCATATAAGCCTTAAAAGTCACATGTACAACACTGGAAATTAATTAATTACAACTTACCAAGTGCTTCACAGAAGCACACCACAGCATACTGAACAAGCAGTACATAGAATCATACAGAATCACAGAATGGTTTGAGTTGGAAGGGACCTCACAGATCATCTAGTTCTACCCTCCCTGCTAGATGGGACACCCTCCACTAGACCAGGTTGCCCAAAGCCTCATCCAGTCTGGCCTTGAACACTTCCAGGGATGGGGCCTCCACAACCTCTCTGGGCAACCTGTTCCAGTGCCTCACCACTCTCACAGTAAAGAATGTCTTTCTAACATCTAATCTAAATCCACCCTCCTTCAGCTTAAACCCATTACCCCTTGTCCTGTTACTACACTCCCTGACAAACAGTCCCTCTCCATTTTTTCCTGTAGGCCCCTTCAGGTACTGGAAGGCCACAGTTAGGTCGCCCCAGAGCCTTCTCTTCTCTAGTATGAACAATCCCAACTCTCTCAGCCTGTCCTCATAGGACACACATCACTACAACTTAGCAAAATAGAAACCTAACTCCTACGGGGATGGAGCCGCAGGCAACAGGTTTGTTTAGAGGGGAAGAATTCATTTTAAGATTACACTGCAGAACACCAAGCCTGTGGTTGTAGTTTGAGTTTCTCTCCACACAGCTGTGGGTTGACAGACCACCCACCTCCAGCGCCTTAACAGTCCACATCTTGCCCTGGGTACATGGGGCTGTAGAACCACCTACTGTGCTGGTTCCTCTTGAAGGCATTCTCTAACTGGGAGCAAAGAAAGCATGTTTATAGCATGAATTGTATAAATTAGTTTTTCCCAAAAGGGTTAAACTCTAGTATTACAAGTACCTTACCCAAACACATTTAATCTTTAAGAATACTAGTTAGCCCCTAAAAAGAGATAAAGTAATTAAGTACTTTTCTGTAAGAACAGCAGTTACACAGTAGTTGTAAAATACAAGACACCTAACAAGGCCTGGCAGGTGGGGAAACCTACACCTGCAGTGTGGTGCAGCAGCAGCATGGTTTAGGTCACCAAGACAAGCACTCTCCTTTTTTCTTGGAAATAAGCCTGACTCAAGCAGCAGCCAGTTCCCCATGAACAGCAGGTCTCTGCCACCAAAACAGTTCAGTTCAAATAAAGGTTTTATTGGGAAATGAAGTGTTACACTGAAAAACCACAACCCACCAGGATTTAAGCTCTTCAAGAATGAGAATTAGCTAGACTGTGTGGTTTTACACAAGACTTGTCACCAACACAGAGGTCCTGATAGTCCCCAAAGAGGCGACTTAAAGATACAGTCCCTCGGGGGTTCCCTCCTGCTTCTTATAGAGAACATTCTCTTTAGACTTTTTGAAGTCTTCATTTGTTACTTTCATTCGCCGTTCCCTCAAAGCCATCAACCCAGCTTCTGTACAAATTGCCTGCAACAGAGAAGCAACAGTTACTGTCTCTGTGTGGCCCCTTTGAGCCACACCTCAGAAGAAAGCTGCACCTTCACACTGCTCCGACCGGCGCTGCAGAAGTGCAGAGTGGCCTGAGTCAGCCCCAGCCGCAGCTGAGCGCCAGCAGCCACTCACTCACACACACCCCCCACAGCGGGATGGGGAGGAAAAGCAGAAGAAAGAGATAAAACTTATGGGGTGGGATAAGGACAGTTTACTGGGACAGCAAAGGGAGAGGGAAACAACAACAACGTACAAACTGGGTGATTTGCTCATCACCCATAGCCTGATGCCCAGCTTGGCCCCAAGCAGCCACGCTCCTTTCCCTTATATACTGAGCATGATGTCATACGGTATGGAATACCCCTTTGGCCAGTTTAGGTCAGCTGTCCTAGCTGCGTCCTGTCCCAGCCAAAAACCAGGACAAAGCATTAACAGAATTTACATTCTGAAGTTTGGTACTATTCCGTAGCACTGAAGCATGTAAAACAATCTGGATAAACCCAGACGCTTCTGTGACAGAAAGGCAGTTTTCCCCAACAACAGTATTTCCCTCCTGCAAGGAGCAGATGCGTCCAGCTCTGTAACAGCAGACTGGGTTACCCTTCTGCAATGAAGTGATGAAGTAATGCCATGTTTGGTTAAGCTCATTAGTGTGGTAACTCTAGCAAGGGCTCCATCTACCTTAGAAAAGCAGACTATATCTGAAGCTTCCTAACCTACAGTTGCATTTTTATCTGCTTGCAACATGGTGTAGGATAAGAAGCATTTTTAGAGGCTATCTTGAGTAGCATTTAAGATACCTTGCATGCTTGTGC